GGCACAGGGCGCTGGGCAAGCCCCGGGCATCGCACACAGATTTGCTCCAGTTGTCATTTAAGTCCATGCTGCTGCCGGGATCAGTCCCGCGGGAGCCCCACGCCTCTGAGCAAGCTAAATAACGTGCAGTAATCCCAGAGTGGATTGCTCAGCAAATACAGCATCTGGCAACACAGCGAGTGCGTTACTGATGCTGATACACAATGGAAGTGAGGTTTGGTTAAGCCTGCATGGCTCAGGACAGATAAACTGTTGTTAATCCTAATTGCCTGTAAAATACACCATGGCCGAGGCCATCCGTGCACGGCGGGGATGGAGGGATGGGTTTCTAGCTGGGGACAGCTAGGGCTCATCTAGCAAACCCCCAGAGCTGAGGGTGTGAGGAGCAGGGGAAGGCAGCGCTCCCCCCCCCAGCCAGCTCCCTGCCCCTACAGCTAACGGCGGGGTTTCTCTTCCAGCCTTCGAGCGGGGTCACTGCTACGAGCCCTACATCCAGAACGGGAACTTCACCACCTCTGATCCCACCTACAACCTGGGCACCACCGTGGAGTTCACGTGTGACCCCGGGCATTCCCTGGAGCAGGGCCCTGCTGTCATCGAGTGCGTCAACATGCGGGACCCGTACTGGAATGACACGGAGCCGCTGTGCCGAGGTCAGTCCCTGTGCTGTGGGGCGATGCTGGGTGGTGGGTGCGAACACCGCTGGGACCCCAGCTGAGCCCTGCCTGCCTCTCGCTCCCACAGCCACGTGTGGGGGGGAGCTGACTGCTGTGGCCGGGGTGATCCTGTCCCCCAACTGGCCAGAGCCCTATGCGGAGGGGGAGGACTGCATCTGGAGGGTCCACGTCGGCGAGGAGAAGCGGCTCTTCCTGGACATCCAGCTGTGAGTAGCCCAGGACCTTGGTGTCTGTCTCTGCCCCACCACTGCTCAGCCCACTTCGCTGCAGTATCCCCACTCCCTTCACCCCAGAGACCCACACCATCTCCCTTTTCTCCCCCTTGGAGCTTTCCTCATCCCCTGTGATGCACTTGGTGCCCAGGGGGAGGTCCAGGGCAGTACCGAGTGCTGCTTCCCACGTTCAAAGTGGGGTTACACCATCCATTGCAGTAGTTAATTGCTCCTGAAATGGCTTCAGAACTCCTCCGGAGCAAAGCCGCAGGGAGCGATGCTACAGCAGCGCATGGCTACATGCAACTCGGAGTGACACAGAGCACCATCACGAGCTGGTTCATACGGGGCTAGGAAAGCCTAGGGACATCCACGAGCTGGAAACCTCATCTTA